CTTTTCTTGATCAGGGGTATTGCGATGTATTTTTGAAGTGTAGAGCCGTTGACGCGGAAGGACCATTAGCCAGATTGAAAAATCTTTTATTCAATAAGGATACATTGCGTACAGTAGCACAATGGATAACCGTAAGTATGAATTTGAATGTAGAAACAATAATATCGATATAAATAATAATAAGATCGTTTATTTTTTTCAGGAATTCTGGTGGGCGGCAGTGTTAATGGGAATAGCTTTCATTATTTTCATGGGCTTGTTCATCAAGTGTTGCGCTGTTCACACTCCATCGAGTAATCCTAAGAAACCACCGGCCAGACGTATTAGCGACACTCTAAGAAGACCGATGAATACTCTGAGAAGAATGGTATATATATATAAAATAAAATAGAGAAGGGATAAACGATAATATATAAATAAATTTATTATTTGTTTAATTTAAAATTAATAAACGTACGTTTCATAGCGACATCCACACGGAGGTGGAGCAGGTCCCAGAAGTATACCTCCTAGACAAGGTCAAGGAGGGCACGGTACTAGGGGACCCTCTCACGGTTATGGAGAGGGTAGAGGTGCTCAGTATTATCCGAAAGGTAAATTCACCTAATACTTTGGTTGCTTTTTTTAATGCAGCTATCGTTGCTCGAGTTTGATCCTGAATAAATGTTGCTCGTTAAAATACGTACGTGGGTACGTTTGTATATTAGCTGTATAGTAGTATAAAATATGGATTAAACTCAAGCTAAGAAGCTTGCTTTTATGTATCTGTCCCTGTGTGATCTGCAACTATATCAATGTTTTTTCCTGTTTGCATCTTCCTCGCATTGATTGATGCGCATCACTACCTGATACTATCGTTCTATGACCTATGACCAGAGGTGAGCTGGGGCCTATACTCTATACCCGTGATAGAAGCAAATCCACGAATAGAAATTCCATTTAATATTCTTTTCCAATCGTTTCAACCGCGACATTCTTGCATTTGCTCCTATCTCTCTTCTATAACCATTCGATGAAAGCCATCGTTAAATTTTCATTCGATCGTTAATGTCAAAGTAACACATACAGTATTTATTTCCGCTTTCGCATCGTATTTTCGCATATAATAATCATTTCGATCATCGTATCTTTGAAGAAATAGAAATATTTGGCTTTTGGATGACAAATTCTGATGATTGAGTAGAAGTATCTTGGTTGCTGATTAAAAGACTCGATTATGCATGATTAATATAGATATACTATTCCTATATTCACCGTTCAATGTATTACCGACAGTGACTAATCCAGTACAATTCTCGGTACATTCGCTTCTATATTTCTCTTTTTTTTTTTTTTTTTTTTACATTTGAATTACTTTTCTAAATTGTAAGCAGGCTATCGCTCGGTTCCACAGCTAGTGCGCCACCCAGTAGCAGCGCAGCACCCAACTACGCCCGGTCCAACCATCCCGAACTGTACGCCGGCGCCTATTCGGGCTCCGGGGGAGGGGGGAGGGCCTCAGCCTACGAGATGAGGCATCACAACAAGGTGTGACGATCCTAGAGAACTGCAACCAAGAACAAGGGACGGTCTCGACGTTGCACCGTAAATTGTTCTCTTGTTTAATGCCAAACTGTGAAAACGAGCCGATCCACCCGACACACTATATATACATCTCCTCTCAAGATCAAGATCGATGAAATCAATGGAAGGGATATCCACTACGACGTAATCGAATGAAATTTGAAAGTATCGAAGATCGCCGATCTACGTTCTCATTTCAAGTAAACTCGCGCAAAGGGACTACTGGTTCGGAATTGTATAAATTGGTGAAGTGTATTATATATATATGATCAATGGTGATATATCGAGACTTCTCGTTTGACGTTGTATTTTTTTTTTTTTTTTCCTTGTCGGCAAAGCTGATTTTTTATCGGCAAAAGTATATACGAGGACATCGACGTTGCGGGGAAAAAACGAAACGAATGAACAGCGTTGTGAACGTGATAGATCGTAAAACTCAAAAAAAATCGTTAAAAGACTAAAAATAATTATTGTACGATTTTATGTAAAGTCTCGTCTTTTTAAATGTTTCCTGCAAATTCCTTCGTGTTGCCAATAAGTATTTTTCACGATCAAAATTGCGAAGCTTTTTTAAAACAAATCTCTTCTTAATGCCCACGAAATTCTTCGATGTAAACGTCAACCAAATCGAATCAAACCGAATTATGGAGATTTATTTCTTGTGGACAACGCTGGATTGCGGTAATATATTGAACGCGACGTATTTTTGTCGTTCGATATTAAGAACATTTATATGGCCAAGGTTGCATAGTAGTGTTTACGCCTCGATTTCTCGTGATGAAATCGAATTGCGTGTTTTTCGCTTCGGAAAGCGCATACTTTTATACTTGGAGACTGTTGGTTAGAAGAGAAAGGGAAGTTCAAAGGGAGGACGGAGACGACAATATATATTTGGAATAAGTGTTAGAATGATAATCGTAATTTTTGAAAAGCTCCCATTGAACGTACCTTGTGCCTTTTAACTCATATACGCAATTGTTATGTACGTTATTCTATGTATAGTACGATTTTAAAAGGTATTCTTTTCTTTTTTTTTTTTTTTTTTTTTTTTTTTTTTATTTTCAAAGTTCTTCCACCAAATGGATGTTCTTTTATTCAAGAGTTAAGTCTCGATTATATTAGTACTTTATATTAATTAATAAGTAAATTAATAATTAAGTAATGCCAAAATATTTAATACAATTTTTTTAATGCGCTTATACATATATGTAAATATAAATATATATGTATAAGTTATATAGTATATAAGCATTATTTAATTTTTATTTAAACATAAAAATCTTTAGATATTTTACATCACTTTAAAAGTTTATATTTTAATTATAACATCACCGCTTTCCGCAGCGAAAGAACGCGTTTATCATTACCAAACTATTGCAGGTCATTTACTTGATCTCTACCATTGTAGCATAATAATTAATAATATTAAATATTCTTATACTAATTTTTATTAGCCAATTGAAATGAGCAAAGAGATTATGAACATGAGAGAAAAAGTATGGACAAAAAAATTTTTATAGCGATATTTCATTAACGATTATTCCAAATGTGAATAATGTGGAACAATATCGATTTTATTATATAATTATGCTGATTATTATTATTATTATTATTAATTATTATTATTAACTATTATTATTATTAATTATTATTATTAACTATTATTATCATTATTAATTATTATTATTATTAACTATTATTATTATTATTATTATTATTATTATTAATTATTATATATTATTATTATGGCTATTACTATTATTAATTAGTTATCTATTGCAAATGATAATTTATCTCCGCTATCGCGAATGTTATAAGTTATATTTAAATATGTTTTTTTTTTAACTTACAATTATCAGGGGGCTGTACCGTAAACGCGCTCTAACGAAATGGCGCATAGCGGACCAAAGACGAGCCCACCTTTCGGAATATAAAACATGTTTTTAATATACATGGGCTCAAGCAGCATATTTGTACACTGCTGCATACTCGTATATATGCCACACGGAGAAATTCGCACGTGCCCAACAGCACAGAATCGTATTAAATCGTAAGCGATATATATACACTTCCTTTTTTGAAACGCCAAAATATTATATGTGATCGACTGAATTTTTTTACTCGTCCCTCGTGTCGTACCTTCTTGCGCTAAATTTTATCTAGTTCTTTCCATGCGTTTCTTCATCCGAGGCAAGATGCAATTCATTGACGATTATCATTACGAATTAGTCATATTATAATAATGATCAATATCCGGCATTCTTTTTTTTTTTTTTCTTCTCTCTCTGATATTTTTTTATAATACTCTTAGTCTTAGCGTGTTACACGTATTTCCACATTTTTTCTCGTTCGACGTTAAAAAAAAAAAAAAAAAAAATGTCATTATACTGTTCAAGATTATGGCAGCTAGTTTACTCCACTACACGGAGGCATAGATTTTATTTAGAGACGATGATCCCAAAAAAGTTTAACAAATTTTAAAATATCTAGTTACTGCGGAAGGAGTATTGAACAGGGATATGAAAGAAATAAAAAAAAAAAAGGAAAAAGAAAAAAAACAAGGAGGTGTCTGCCAAATCGCAGAAAAAAAAATACGAGTTTGCGGATCATGTGGAAATGTACAATAGTCGCAATGTGATTATTATAAAAGTGGATCATACGAAAGCTGATGATATGCGAGAAATATATGTGAGAAAGCGGAAGAAGGCAAGAGAAAGCGAAGAAAAGAGATTAAGAAAGAGAGATGGGCGTGAAAGAATTAAAAGAGAGAGTATTAAACTGTGTGCATACATTGATATTATATATATATATATATAAACGATATATATATATATATATACAATAACGA